AAAAAAAAAAAATTGATTAAAAAAATATGTAACATTCCTTGTTAATATCATTAATTGACCCAAATCAGACTATGCATTTTTATATACATTGAGTCTAGGCGACTATACTAAAACCAGATTGGAAAATTCAATAGTTTGTTTGTGACACCAATATTTCATTCAACCGAGTCTAGAACCCGAGACCGACACAAACATTTGATGCATAATTCAAACATGAAATTATCATGAGATGTTACATGAACAGCAAAGACAACTATGTAAGGAAAGTTGCGGCACTAGAAATACACTGAACGTACATTTTTAACGTGAATCGCATTAATAGCTACTATTTTTAGAACGTTTTAATTTCGCAGTCTGCATGTCTAGCTATTACGTTTCGGTTGAAGGATAAAACAGCTTTTACATGCGACTCCGTCCGTACGGCATTAAAAAATAGTAAATAGTCTGTGTTGTTATTATGCTCTATATCTGTGACTAATTTTGAAATAATTTATTCAATCTTGAAGAAATGTAATATAGTAAAAAATAAGCATCCATCCATTAAAATATCCATCCATAAAGTTACGCGTTTATAATATTGAGTATATGTTATAACTAATGGCTTATGCACTGCCTATATGAAACTTCGAATTAAAACCATAGAATAATTGCAAGTCACAGATTGGAGCAAAAATAATATAGTCAATATTTAAAAAATTAAAAACACAAAGTGCAAAGCTTAAAGCGCTTTGAGCATATTTAACTGTTGAATGTAATATTTATTTCGAGTGATTGTCAACAGATCAAACGACTGTCTTTACAATTAAAGGAAATAATGTAATAAAGTAGTAGGGGAAAACCGGACATTATGTAGTACGCATCTCTATTGTTTACATTATACGTTATATGAATAAATTATTATTACTTCGGTGCTCATTGACGCAACGAGGAAAAACAACATAAGTTGAATATTTTACATTTAATACCAAATTCCAAGAACGGACCTTATATGTTTATAAATAACAAACAAAAAAAAATATTATTTATACTAAATATAAACACGCATTTTGTTATAGTCAGTACAATTTTTTTGTACGTATGTCACTGATAACTCAAGTTTATATTTTATACTAGCTTTCGACCGCGACTCTATCCGCTTGAAATTAAAAAAAAATCTTAACACCTATGCTAAATTGAATCAAGATCCGTTCAGCGGTTTGGCTACAAACTCTAACATTGTTCCAACCATCTAAGCGTTTGCATTTATATTATTAAAGAAACATTTAGATAGTTCAAAAAACCGTGTGTTAGCACCGACCGTACGGGAGTAGGATAAGGAGAAAGATCAAACAATCGTGTACCACTTTGACAGGGTCACTAATTCGCCCACAGATTTTTTTATTAAAAACCTTGACCTCCTCTCTAGCTTCTACTACATTTGGTTTAACTTATTTCAAAGTCATTTTCTCTCGTTAGTCGCTTTCACGCGATTGATTGAAAAAACAAATCCAAAGCTCAGCATTTAAAAGCTACACGAACCTTCAATTGTTTATAATTGTAGTAGGAAATAAACATTTTCTCTTCCTCTAACCACGACCTCGGAAGAGTTAAACTAAATAGTAACTGGTAAAATGTAAATGGGCTACAATAATATGTAACAATTGCGTAAGTCAGCGAACACCGATAACCCTGTTCTGGGTGAGCCTCACTAAGAATAGCTCTCGATAACATTCATTCTCTTACGCGGTCAAGTTTGCTAAATTTTTGATTATTTGTATTGATTCTTTTTTCCATATATTTTTAAATTATAGTGACTTCTGTCTACAGACATCCGCATTTGTAGATGCGTTGCCTATCATTAATCTACAAAGGACACACAGAAAGAGGATATGAAGCCAGAGTCCTGCGCCCGTTAAATCAACTTCTGTCTCAAAACTTTCTTACAAAAAAGGAGGACGGAATTAGGTTTGCAGCAAACACACACATCACGCGATTTGCGGAACTAAAATACAAACATACGTAGAAATACGATTCAAACAAAACTACAAGATTCTTTACTTTAGTAATCCCTAATTGTTTAGATCGCTAACTAAAATTAAGGTAAGCCTGTTTCCTGTGTACATAGACTTTAAATAATTACCTTAACAGTCCCTGCAGAAGCTAAATGTAAGTTACACAAAATCCAGTCTTAAGTTTGCCATTTGCTTAGTAATATCTCTGAGTACTAGTCTAATTTTGACTTTCAATGGTTCAAAATATTTCTCATACTTTTTAACGTTATAAATAGGTTTTGTTGAACAACATTATTATTTTTCTTTGTAACAGATATCGATCGTAAAAGATTACTTAGAACACAATCACTTGTTGATGTTAGTTTATCGACGTGTTGCGTTAGTTTTTTTAATAACTTTCCTGCAAGTATACGATCCGTGACCACTTCCCATAAAATGTGCAATACGTTCCTTACCGTACTTTGGTATCCAATAAAAAAGTTATTTATGGTTTACGTTTATCTGGCCTTCAC